ACTCAGGCTGGTGCCATAGCAAAATATGGCTCCGTGTCAGGGCTGCAGGCTGGCACTCATCATGCCTGAGATGAAAAGGGTGTATTGGAGACAAAAAAAAAACAACAGAGGAGGAGAAGACCACAAAGCTTATACATATCTTTACTTTGCTGGGGGTTGGTCATGAGCCAGCTGCTCTGAACTCAGTCACAATCTGTCTTTGGGGTACCTGGAAAGAGAAAATAACAGCAACGTCAAAATTCCTGTGCTGTGAGACAGCAAGAACGCTGGCAGCCCCCCAGGTCACACAGGTTTCCGGGCCAAGAGTATCTGCGATGATATGAGTGTGTGGGCCTGACTGGAAAATACCCTGCATTTACCAGCAGCCCTTAGACATGGTTGTAATGTCTTTTGAAGAGTGGCTTGGCAGGGAAGATTTGCTTCCCATCCAGCCCCTAACTCTGGCTCTGGGCATGGGAGCCTCCAGAGCCCCTGGGCTTGCTTGCACCCAGCAGTTCAGCTTGCTGTGAGGTACAGGCAGGCAGGCTGCCTGTAAGCCCAGGTAGTGCTGTGGGGAGCTGTGAGGGGCTGGAGGTCAAATGCTTGGTTTGACTGGAGATGCTCTACAAAGCTGGGACAACAGCACTGACACTCTGCGAGAGCTCACCGTGCCGCAAAGCCCGCCAGAATCAGCCCCTGAAGTAAAGTAAATGAAAGTCAGGATTTAGTGCAAAACAGCAAACATTACAGAAAAGCCCCCCAAAGCCAGCTGTGTTTTCAAGTTCAGCTCTGTGAAGTCTCACATTCCCATGGGTTGCTGCAGGGGAAAACTCCCTCTGCGCGTGTGCTTGCAAGAGGGATGAGGAGCGTTGCTGCCAAGGGCAGCACTGGAGGGGAAGGAAGAAGGTGGAATGGACCAGTTGAAGGGTAAAGAGAAGGGTGAAAAAGAAAAGTGAGAAGGACAAGAACAGAGGGAGTGATTTCAGCCACTGCTTGTGAGCAACTCCAGGCAAGGCCTTTGTAGGTTAGTATTGACTGGGGCATGATGGCTCTACACCCCTGCTGTATATCCCTGGTAGTGAGGAACTCATGAAGTGAGTTGATGAGACAGAGCATGCCAAAAGGATTATTTTTTCCAGTTAGCAGCCAGAGTACTGGAAAGCCTGGTGAGACTAAAAGACTGACTCAAGGTCACAGAGCAAATCTCTGGCAGAGGGGAGCAGAAGTCCAGCCCAGCTGGGAGTTTATGGAGCTCAGCTCTCATGTGCCTTGGGGCTGCCTTGGCTGACAGACTGCCACTGCAAGGCACAGAGCGTGTGTGAGCTGCCAGACGGCTGGACAAAACAGTCCGGCACATGATACAGACACGAGTAAGAGGTCATGGTCTCCTCTGGGTACTCAAGGGCACTTGCTTGCCATGTCTGAACATGGAGGAAGTTGTCTCTTGTATCACAAAGGAAGAAGGAAAACCACTCCTTGACTGTTGCCGGGCTGGTAAAGGCTTCAGAGCAGAAAATGTTCTGCACAGATTTAACTGTGTTTTTCTGCCCTGTTGCCAGGACTGCAGCACATTGCTTCTCCCAAGGCTTTCTTCAGTTCATTTCTCCCACCCTCCAATAAAACACCCCTTTCAACTTGTGTTTACTATGTCCTTTTCCTCTTGCAGGTGTATGAACTGGATGGCACCCAGCACAATAAATCATGGTCTGTGGCAACATATCGAGAAGTGACCAGGCAGTTTGTAAAAGAGCATCCTGACTTTCTTGGAGCCAAGATTATATTTACAGCTCACAGGTAGAGGCTGATTGGGGCTAAAACCTCCTGTGTGTGTCTGGCAGAAGTGGGGAGAGAAGGGTCCAGGCAGTGCCAAGAGAAGCGATGCTGAGGGCTGGGCTGAAGTGCTACACTTGGTCAGCAATGCCTGCGTGTTCCATCAGACCCAAAGTGCTGACTCCCAAAGCATCCCCTGGCACATGTAAAAGGCTGGGGATGAGAAATCATCTATATAAGTCTGTGTATGTGCAATGTGACCAGGGTTAGCTCATGGCGTGCAGCGGGGAGGCAGGTGTCTGAGCCCTGGGTGTGGGAATGAGCGAGGGGAGGGCTGCCTGCCTGCGTGTGTGTCCAAGCTGTGCGTTCTCTCTTCCTGAGCCTGGACATACTCCTCCTCTCTGCAGAAGCTGGAGCAGTGAGAGCAGTGCCCGAGTATGGGCACTCAGTATTGCAAAGGTCCTTGTGTGTCCCTGCAAACGCTGCTCTCCCGGAAGCCTCTGTACGGTATGTTCGTGCTGCTGCTCGCAGGAGGGCACGAGGCTGGTCTCCAAGTCAGCCAGATGCCATGAAGCCATGTGAGGTGATCCTGAGCAAATATAACAGAACTTTCAGCAGCATTTACTCACTCTGGCTCTGCATTATGTTGTTTCCAGTTCAGGGCTGGCTTGCCTCTAGCCAGCTTGGTTTGGACAGTCCGTCTGTAAAATGCACAGTGGTGTTTAAATCCAACAGGGCTGGAAGAAATCTAAATGTAAAGCTCTCTTGAAATGCAACTGTGTCCCATCTCCCAGCAAAACAGTCAAATGAGAAAAAATTAAACATTTTATCTCCATGCTGTTGTGTTCCCTGCTTGGTAGATGGGAAAAGCCAGTGAGTCTTAGACAAGCATGCCTCCACTCAAGTGACAGCAGGGTCTAGCCAGGCATTTCCTGGTCATTCAGGGGTTTCCTTTCATAATATCAATTTTCTACTGCTGTTACTCTGGAGACCTGAAGCTGGTTGTCAGATTCAGAAGCAACTTGCATTTTAGAAATACCCCTTGGGGCGCCATTTCACAACTCAAATCCAAAGAAGGCAGGCCTGTGGGAGTGAGCCTCTGCACTGCTTTCTCTCTCTTGCTCTTTAGGATGCTGAATGTTTCCCAGATTAAAGAAGCCATCGTCACTGCCATGGCACTCAGAGCCCACTTCCCAGACACCGTGGCAGGCTTCGACTTGGTAACCATATTTCTTCTGTGGCTTTGAGTTAACCCCTAGAGGTGCTATATAATTACATATATAATATGGCATAGATTTTATACTGAGCCAGATCCTCTGCTGCTGTATTGAAATCAGTGTAAATGAATCACAAATCCTTCAGCTAAGGATTTTGCTGAGAGTAATTGACAAAATCCCCAGAAAGGATCAGCTCCCTACCCTAGAGCATTGTAATTTCAGTACAGCTGGCACCTCGATTGTATACAGCTGTAAGTCCCACCATCTTCCAGAGCACATTCAAAAATACATTTCCTCTTTCCCCCAGGTTGGTAACGAGGATGAAGGTCATTCTTTGTGGGACCTGAAGGATGCCTTGACCATCCCATATTCCCTTGGGGTCAACTTGCCATACTTTTTCCATGCCGGGGAGACTGGTAAGCTTGAGGACTCAAGGCCTGTTGTTGCTTGCAGAGGCAAGAGGTGAAGTCTTGCAAATCCCAGAAGGAGCAAGCCTGGCTGTATCAAGATAATTGGGGGCGGTGTGTACCCTCATGTGTGTAATCAATTTTCCTTGTGCTTCTCCTGGTATCAGCTTATTGCTGTTGCATTCCTACATGGCACCTCCTCAACCTGTTCCTGTCTCTTGACTGTAGGCATTATGTTGCTCAGTGTCTTTGCCCTGCGTGCAACATGGGGTCATGCTGCAAGAGTTATTGCTGGTGTAACACAGCCATTTGCACCTTGGAGCAGTGCCTACCTCCCATCCACAGTAGCAGCAGAATTCCTCAATCATTATTTTACATTTTAAGGTGCAGGAATGTCTGAACCAGCCTGAAGTCTTAACTGAATACACTCATCAAAGTAACAGATGGCTGCCCTTCATTACCACAGCAATGTATTATTATTTGCCATGTATTATTCAGTCCACATGGATGGGATTTACCCTAACCATGCATGACAGTTGTGTCTAACTAATGCATCGTCCTTATCACGTTAACATCTACAAAGATGTCTATGGATGAACTTGTTACCCTAGGCTCCCTTTATAGCTATGGACAGTAACAGGCACTTCTACAGCATGACACATCTCATACTAATGCATAAACCATTCCGCAGAAATGATTACTTGTCTTCCTTAACTACAAACAGAAACCAGCATGATTAGCTTAGCTGTAAGAGCAATACTGTGGACATCTAAAGCCAGTTGGAGATGAGTGGGTATCTCTGTGCTGGGCAATATCCAAGGCAGATCTGGATCCCTGTTTCACTGAAAATGCAAAGAGGTAACTTAGGGCATGAGTAACCCTCTCACCTTGCAACTGAGACACTTATTAACAAAACCATCTAGCAGTTTGAGAAGATGTGTTTCCTCACAGCACTGCAGTGATTCTTACCTGTCTCTGCTCAGACTGGCAGGGCACCTCTGTAGACAATAATGTGCTGGATGCTTTGCTACTGAATACCAGCCGGATTGGCCATGGACTTGCTCTCGTTAAACACCCAGTAGCCAAAAAATTGTCTCTGAAGAGGGATACTCCTGTGGAAGTCTGTCCCATCTCCAACCAGGTATGTTGGTAAAAGCTTAGGTCTTGGGGCTGGAACACTGGAATGGGATTAACCATAGCAGCTAGGAGCAGCAGGGAGCTGGAGTCAGTGAGATGTTTTGTCGCATGCAGGCTGGCTTGATTTTCTTTGCACCACATTGCCCTACAGTATAAGGCTTGTAATTTAAATTCCTATGCAGAGGAACCTGGGAAGGCAGTCGTCCCTAGTGGACATGAGGCCTGAAGCCGTGGAGGTGCCTAAAGAGATGTAATGGAAAATAACGTTCAAAGCCAGGAGGGGCAGAGGCTGAGAAGCTGAGGCTGCAACTTGGACTCCTTTGCTTTTGTAGAATCCATAGCCAGGAGGGACTCTTTTGCAATGTTAGCATGGTGCCCATCATCCCCTGGGCCCAACAGAAAGGAGGCTCTGGGGTAGAGACATACTGGTGTGAGCCTTGAGGGAGAGAACTCTGATACCAGCTCCAGATGCTCTTTGCTCAGTGTCATGGCAAATGCATAACCAAAAGACTGTTCCCAAAATTCTCACAATCAAATTGTTACAAATAACCAGAAGTTATTCACCTCACTAGCCTTGACTTAGATGATTAATTTAAGAAACCAATCTCCTTGGATAGTCAATGGAGACAAATAGGCTGCTCCTGCAGCAGTTCAGAGCAGAACACCTAACATGCTCTGAGCAGCCCTGTGGAGACTCTTCCTCCCCGATGCCTGCCTGCTGACACAAGCAGGTATGCAGTGTGACAGGTGCCACAATGCAAACGCAGCTACAGCAATAACCTGATGTGGCTTTGTCTTCCACTTTTCCCACTAAGGTTCTGCTACTGGTAGCTGACTTGAGAAGCCACCCCGCAGCTGCCCTCATGGCTGAAGGGTACCCTATTGTGATCAGTCCTGATGATCCCCCTATCTTTGGGGCAAAGGGAGTCTCCTATGACTTCTATCAGGTATTCATGGCCATCGCAGGGATGAATGCTGACCTGAGGACCTTAAAACAACTTGCACTCAACTCCATAAAGTAAGTTCCTCACCTATTTTGCCTAGTCATAGTAATGCTAATGGGCTACCAGCGTGCTCCCTGGCAACCCACTGAATTTGGGGTTTGGCCCCAGAATCTTCTCCAATACATGAGCTGGGCTTCCATCACTCCAAATTCTCCTTTGTGGGTCTCCTCCAAGGGCAGTACACAAGAACCCCAAAGGCTCCTCTGCCCGTGCCTGTGAGTGCCTATCTCTAACTCATTGTCTCAGTGTATTCCTCCCTTCTCTGTCCTTTGCAAAGTTGCCTCCAGTGCCTGATTCTGGGTATAAGACAAATGTTATAATTTTCTATCACTTGTCTACTTCTGCTCAAATTTTACTTGCTCTGGTGTTTGCAATGGCCCACCGGGGAAACACAGGAAAGAATCTACTAGCATGTAGTTTGGTTGTGTTTAACCACTTTTTCTGTTTATCTGGACAGCTATATACATCCCAAAATAGTTTAGATATGATGCCTAGGGCCCTTCTGCACATTCCTAGATTCTTGTCTGTTTGCCAAATCCCATGCCAGTCCTCATGCCAACTCCAAGTCCCTGCTTGGCCAGGCAGACAACAAACACTCTTATTTCCTACCAAACTGGACCAAGCCCAGGGGATATCTGAAAGCAACAGCAGCGCCGTCTCTTCTGTCCTTATCACCAGCTGCTGCCCAGACAATCCCCAGCTTTTGCAGATTGAGCTGTTTGTCCTCATGGTGCAAGACTCAGTAGCTATTGATATGGCCATGATGCTTCTTGTCCCAGTGTGAGCCCAACCAGCAGAAGCTCAAGGCTTTTTACATCGTGTTACTCTGTGTGGTGTAGGCACATCCTGCAAAGATAGATCTGTTGCAGCTTTCTGCCTTTTCATTTTGGTCACCGATTTTGAAATAGCTGCTTGTCTCCTGTCTGATGCTGACTTTTCTCCTCCTCACAGATACAGTGCCATGCTACCGGATGAGAAAGCCAAAGCCAGAGAGGTCTGGCAGAAAAAATGGGACCAATTTGTGGCTGACCTCTCTGATAGCTTTTCAAGGGAGCTTTAGAGGGGAAGAGACTCATCTCAGAAGGCATTTGGCAAGCCAGAGCAAGCTGGGCTTATTGCTAAGAGACTACTTCTTCTGTGTGACCTGAGCAATTAAGTAATCCTCAGTCTCACCTGGCAATGGGCAGTTCTAGTAAACTAGGCTTAATGCTAAGAATGAGCTGCACTATCCTGGAAAGTCATGGACTGGAGGTAAAACAGAGCAGCGAGCCTTTATAGCAGCAACAAAAGAACACCTAGCTCAAAAACAGTCAAAAAAATTAAAAATTGCCAACGATCAAATCCTGACATCCTTATTCAGGAAAAGCATACCTTCTAATTAGAATTAGCAAGAGACTGCCAACATGAGGATCTCTGAATTTTGCCTTATCATTACAAAATGCAGACCTTGTCCGGAAACAGCTAAGACAAACATCCAACCATTTGGGCCACTGACCTTCAGGAGAGCAAGGACTGAAAATGATTCTTGTTATGTTTAACCCTGGGCCTGCTGCCAAAATAGCACTGCTAGGTCGAAGAACCAGTCATAGGTCTGATGTCTGCTATTTCAGGACCTACCATGGCTGGAAACAAGCTGATGGAACTTGCTCTCAGAACATTTAAGCCTGGTTGCACAGTGAGCATAAAGCCAAAAAGCAGTGCCTTGGTTGCTGACAGTTTTTTTTACTGCAATATCTTTTCCTGTCCTCTGGTCACAAGGAAGCTAAAACACTTTTCAGCTGAGAAAATAATCACAGTGGCTTCCCAGATCCAGCCTCATTAAAACTGTCACCCTGCACTGAGCCATGGTAACACAGGCCTCTGCATTTATAGGAAGAGCCTTTTGATTTCAGGGGTTCCACTACCAGCTTTTGTTGCCTAACTCAGAGTGCAAATGTGGCCTTATTCAGGCTGTTGGACAGATTTTCACCTTGGAGAAGAACTGCTCTTACACTGTTGATATCCAGTTCATTAACTTGGACCTTTGTAGTTTCCAGTTCTTGGGCAAAAAGGTATTGCAGCAACTACACAATAAACAGTGTCTGGACAAGCAGACTCCCTTTCCTAACAACATCAAAAATACCAGGAGAAAAACTAGTTGCAGGGAGATTAAAAAAAAGTCTTAACTAGGGTGCAAAATAAATTCAGCAAAACCCTTCAGCACATACACTCCAAGAACGCAGCCAGGATCAACCAGTACCTCTCTCTGACTTCAGTGCAATCATGCTGGTTTGCATCAGCCAAGGGATCATTTACAAAAGCTCCTGCTAAAAAGATGTCTCCTGCTTTGGAGCTGCAGACTCGTGAGGGCTGTTGTTTCCTGATCAGACCAGCCTGGGCAAATTGGCTCTCTTTATGTTTTCTGCTAATTGTCCCAAGCTGCCTGCCCATAGTGTTTATTTCCACTGACCTTGGTTAAAACACCTTAGCAGGAGGCAAATGCACTTACTAGAGAAGTGGATCAAGCTGTGCAGCCCATGCATCTCATGTTAAATTGCCCACATTTCACAGGCTGTGAGTTCATCTCTAGTTATTGCAGAGAAAAACAAAAAACCCACACACCAAACCCCACAACAACAACAAAAAAAATCCAACAAATAAAACCACAGCAAACCAAAGGTGTCTAAGCTGCAGAAGCCAGAAAGGCAAACCATAGGGAGCAAAAAGTGAGAACTTGGTCACAAACCTCACTGACTGTGGGGGTTGAGTGCCTCACACCCTGGCCCTTTTCAGCCACAGCTGCCCCTGCTCCAACTCTCTCTGCCCACACCTTCCTCAGAAGTGCCAGCAGCTGCTCCTTGCAGGCTGGCCTTTCCTGGGCCTGGATGCAGGCTTGCTCTCAGGACGAGCTTTATACTGGAGGAGAAGCCAAAGTAGAGACACCTTTCCTTCTCCTCCATGGGTGTTGCACACAGAGCTCAGTCTAAAGTCCACAAGGTGGGCTTTGGTCATGGTCAGATGATAAATGCTGACTTTGGAAATGCCTTATTTGTAATGCTGCTGAGGAAACCTGCTGCAGATGGGTGGAACGGCTGCTAACCAGTGACAGAAAGCCCAGTCCCTCTGAGCCCCCACATCTCTCAGCTTTGCTCTACATGGATGGAGGAAGATCTATTATTTGCCATGAGCTGATTCTCCCTTAAGTGAGATTTTTTGCTGCCAAGGTGAAGCCATTTGTTACAGATCCAGTGTGGGAAAAGCTGAGTTCCTCAACACCATTCCTTCCTTTTCTACAGTGAAAATACCTTTCTAGTGAAGAGGTTTCAGCTGTTCCTGCATATGGTCTCTTAAAAGCTTGAACCACTAATGGCCTTTTACTCACCTGTCGTCCTCCCTCCTCATTACTCACATTAGCAGCAGGGCTAGATCTTCTGTTTGTCAAACACTTGTTGGGACCAGTTTACCTGTTGTCTCCAGTTTGTTGGGCATTAACCTACTTTACATCAGGAACTCAGACATGATGTAGCCCAGTGTCTGGAACCACCAGTAAGTGATACTGTTCAGGATTAGAGCAAATAAATCACTGGGGGTTTAAAATTGGACAGTCTGAGATGATCTTTGGATGAAGCCCTCAGAAAGGTGAAACTTGACCCTACAGGGCTCAGTCTGCATTTGTGACTAGCCTAGTGACTCCCCTGCTGTTGAAGGTATCCATCTCAGGGTTAGTCAGATAGCAGGAACTTTCCCATCCTGTTCACATATATTTAAAGAGGAACCCAAACTGCATATGGTGGTGCCTGACTCCAGTGGTGAAGCCTTCCTTAGATCTGTCCTTGAACAGGGCATTGCTGTGTGTGGTGACTGCAGCTTCCCAAGAATCCTCTGCCAAATTGATAGGCTTTAACCATGTTGAGGGCCTTAGAGGGTCAGATGGGAGGAAGGCTGTTTTACTTTACTGCTGAGGATAAATTCTTCCTTAGAGCATGCCTTAGCTCAGAGGAAAGGGCAAGCTGAGAAACCCAGATTGCATCCCAACCTCCCTAACTCTTGGAGGGCAAAAAGGGAGGGATTTAGGCTGGACTGTAGCAGTTATGAAATATCAATCTATTCATATATCCCCAAATCTTTGGGTAAATTTGGCTCTGGGGCTTCACTGAAACTCAGCTCTTAGCATTCACATTTCAAGGATTTTGCTTCCTATTCGAATATTTAAACATCTTTCCACTGTGGGTTTTTTTTTCCTTCCCCATTAGCCCCTTAAAAGGAACTGGGAATGCCTGTGTTTCATGTGAGGTTTAATCTGGAATGTGCAGTGGAGGGGGGGATGTTTCGCATCACTCAGTCTGGAGTACAATTATGAAGGGGTCTGAAATGTCCTCACAGCATGGTGCAAAGGGCAATTTGATCCAGGGGGGTTAACTGCTGTAGAGCCAAGCCCAAGCCACCTGGCAGAGACATGACACAGGTGCCCCAGCCCCCCACTTCCCCAGATGCCACAGTAGCTGCCTCCAGCTGTAGGCTGCATTTTCATACAAAGACCACCCGACGGACAGGACCCCTCTCCTACCAGCTAGAGAACCTGAAGACCTGAGATGAAAGAGGTATTTGGACAAGCAAGGATGGATGCAGCCAGGAGGCTGGTGGGCAGTGGAGCAGGGCAGACCTAAAGGAGCAGAAAGTGCCCCACTTCAGTCTCCATCCAGACTCAGGAGCAAGGAAGTGGAGCAGAAAATCCATGGAAGTTTCTGTGCTGCTTACTTCAAGCAGCCATAGGAATACATCAAGCCTTATGCCTTATCTCCCTCAGTGGTCTCTCCCTGTGGCCTCATCAGGCTGGATTTATTTAAACGGGAGGTGGATGGAGCTTTGTCTGCAGCACAAGGTGTCACAGGTCTATCGGTGTTTTGTTGCACAGCAGCTCAGACCGCCTCTGGGGCACTTTAGCAAATGAAATGTTTGCCTCCTGGTCACTCACCAGCAGGAAACGGCTGATCCAGCACTAGTGGTTGCTGTCAAAAAAATCATGCCAATAAAAACAGAGGAGTAAAGTAGCCGGTTGAAAATAGAGATAGACGCAAGCGAGCAGCTAGATCTGTATGTCATGTGAGCCCCCATCACTGCAGTGGGACTATGCAGATGCCAGATGCTAAGTGAAGACCTCTGGCCATAAAACACAGGGCTACAGATGTGTTTTCCACCAGCTCCCAATGCTCACCCTGCTTCAGGTTTTTCTCCTGTAATTCTCTGAATTAAGTCTCTTCACAGGTAGCAGAAGGACTTTTTTTTGGCCAGAAACTTATAGCTCTAATTGGCTCAGTCCTTAATTCCTTTCTTTCCAGCCTTGCAGCAGTTGCAGTCACAGTTTTCTCTCTGCTGAGAGACAGGCAGGTGAAGGGTCTGATTCTCAATTCTTCTGGCTTGTCATTTTTATCAGGCTGAGTCCTCCCCCTTGGTCATTACAGGATAAGAAAGGCATTTTACTGTATTTTCTCAGCCTTTAGCTTGTCCATCATTCCATGAGCAGGCTGCAGCAGAGAAAGAGAAGAGATAAACCAAGGAGGGGGAGGGTTGGTTCAGGCCATTAGAGCCTTTGCAGGAAGAAAAGAGATGGAAGGTACTGCTGCTTTTGAGGGGGATGTTAGAAGGTCAGGAAGAGGGGGGTGATGACAGGACTATGAGTACAGGGAAAACAGAGCTGCAAAGTTTACACAGGAACCCACGGGAGAAGGCTGTGGGCAACTGCCTGTTTTGCTTGTCTTTAAAGGCAGCTATGAAAGGGGGTGGGGGAAACATCTAAGTACAGTGTAGACAGGGGAAGAAGAGGGAGAGTCTCCTGTGGGCTGGTGTGAGAAGGGCAGACAGACCATTCTAAGGGGCACTAGGGGATGTGGCTGCTGCCAGATGTTCCTGCAGAAGAAATCATAAGGTCCATCCATGTACAGCAGGCAAAATGGGAAGCTCCTAGAAAAGTCAGAGAGAAAGTCTCAGCTCTTTAAGGGAAAAGTACACCACCAAGCATTTAGCACAGCTAAAGCCTGCCTGCTGGTGTTGGGAGGATAGGGGGT